AACTTAACTGGATAAGTGGTAAAGAAAATCATTTACCTTTGCAAACAAATCTCAGTATTATTTTTTCTGGGTGGGAAGAATTTTATCCAAGAATCTGTGACCAACCGTTATATTTTCACTTTCAGTTTGTAAACTGAGTTTTGTTCATTTGATTTAATTTTCATCATGCTTGATTAGGTTTAAGAGTGGTTGCTAGGTGATGGAGTCTGTAATAAGACCCGCCCACCTAAGGAGTAAGAGCAGGAAAGAAAGAAATCAAAGATATGTTGATGACAAATGTATTTGTGTTACAGCGAAACCAATCAAATGTAAGTCTCCATTCGAGTCGTACTTTTATTTACTCAAACCCTCTGAAGGTTAAACGTGGAAAATACTGGAAAAAGTGAGCATCTTATGTGGAGTTTAAAGTTGGTTTTGTTCCTTTCTGTGATTAATCTGACACACTGGACTTCTGGTTATAACTCAGTGTAAGACTTGACCTTTCATTGTCATTTTGTTCCCTTTATTCGAGTTACAGCTTACAAACATCTCTTAGACCTAAAGGCCAATTATAGGCTTGACAGTAAGCCATTGTGTTTCATACTATTTAAAGCCTTGTGCCAATAAAGGCTTATCAGTTGTTGGTTTTGTCGTTTAAAAAAAAAGGTGTTGCGTTTCCTTTCCCATTGATTTCCTTATGAGCCCTTCAGATTTATTTTGCAAGGCTTGGCATGGGGCCACATCCTTGGTTGGCAAAGACTTCCTGTGGACAGGACGCTCTTATGAATCACTACGCATTTCCTGTTAAGGTGAAGTCACAAGATCTTTGACACTCTATCCTTTATTTCTGCAGTGGAAGTGTAGATGGTAGAGGTTTCCACAGACACGTCACTGGATCAAAGGTGATCTCTGCTTGGCTTTTTGAGCCTTCAACAGTCTGCACCAATGTTGGGTCAGGCGATTGTGGAGAATGGTCACTCCTTGGGTTTTCTTTGGTTTTCAAGCAGTGGTAGATGGAGCAGATGAAGAACGGCCTGCTGGTTGAACTGGTGCCAGTGTTCAACTACAGACTTCAGGTATTTCTGCCTCCATGTCTTCTTACAGCTTTGAATAGCGAGAGTGGTGTAATTCTCTCTCGTGTTGGTCTTCCTCCAGATAGCACCAAACTCCAACTTGGATCGCTTATTGGACTTTTTCCATTAACCACAGTGAAATCATTTCTTAGCTAAACCTCGAGGGTTTGGCTTCATTTTGGATCTTTAGTAGTGGTTTAGAAAGGCTGCTCATCAGAACTTTTGCTAAGTGGAGTCTTTTGTTCTTCATTTAACAAATTCTCCATCTTTAAACATGTTGCCAGTGAACCAAACTCGATGTATTCATCTTCTGACAGTGAGCTCACTTTTCGCTGCCCTGATTATTTCAGTAATTCAAATATTTCAGGAGGTTATGCACGACCCCTTTACAATCTCTCAACGTGGGGTGGCTGACGTGGGGCGGCTTTGTAATTAGAGCCCACACCATACAGGCATTAACACCCAGAGCAGCAAGTCTCCGGCTTACGTCCCAACAGGTCAGAACATTAGGTGCATTTTTATGCCCATGCAGTTTCTGTCTTTCTTTCTACACTATC